CGTGTTGTCTTTCAAACTAAGTCCATACTTTCATCTATGTTTAAAGATATTCAACCCCCCCACCATATTAACTCTGTTATTTACTATTTCAAATGTAGTTGTGGATGCGACTACATAGGTAGAACGACACAGCGGTTGGACGTGAGAATTAAACAACACGTACCTGCGATAATACTAAACAAAAAATTTTCTTTGGGCGATACCATTCGTAACACATATGGGTCTTCCATTGCGGATCATTTTATAAAGAATCCAACTTGTGCGATGGATTTCAGTGTGGATTGGTTTTCCGTCTTGGCCAGTTCGCACTCACTTTTCCATCTTAAGGTGCTGGAGTCGCTTTACATCAGGTCGAGGCAGCCTTCTCTTTGCAAACAGAGAGATTGTTTGCTTGGACTTGCTGTGATGCGATTCTAGCAGCTTGGTTGGTATAATTTTATATATATTTTTTTTTTTTTTTCCCTGTCCATTCATTCATGTCACCCATGACAGACTTGTTCTTTTCCTCATAATCTAAATTCCCCGTTAACAGTTCTGACGAGAGGGGACGAAACCGGTCGACTGTTGTGTTTTATTTTAAACTTATCATGGCCTACAATACTACATTTCTAGTTTTTAATAATATATATATATATATATATATATATATATATATATATATATATATATATATATATATATATATATAAATCAAATGGAAAAATATAAATAAATATATGTACCTGTAAGTGTTCAAATACAAATACATATATATATCATTGAGTGTAAGAAAAAAAGTGTTCAACACTAAATAACAGTGCTATTAAAGTATATATTAATAAATATAGATAATTCCCTACATCAACAGTACATCTCGGAGTTATCCAAACGGTGTATATTGAACTCAGTACCTGAAGTATTACATGGAGTATGACACTCCAATTTGTACTGTCGGCGCAAGGTATTATGTGTGTGTGTGCGTATATATATATATATATATATATATATATATATATATATATATATATATATATATATATATATATATATGGGAATAGAGAGAGTGTGTCGGAATATAGGAATCAATACTGATATAGTTTAACGCCCCATTGCGATCTCCAGACTAAGGTAAGTTGGTTGACTTTTTCGTGCTGGACAAATTTTCTCGCCGGAATCTATCTTGCATATTTATGAGTCCACCATTCGGCATTGCTTTGAATATTGCTGCCACATCTAGTTTGGTACGTCGGCTTAATATTTAGAAATTCATGATTAAATCCATAGAATAATCTGCAATATTACTGGTCCTAACCTGGCCTCTCGTCTTCCGTCACTTTCCTACCACCGTAACGTAGCTTCCTCTGTGCCTTTTCTATAAATACTTTCATGGTAATTGTCCTGATGAACTTTCCTCGATGATACCATTGTTCTTTTTATTCCCCCCCCCTCGACAAATTGTACACATGGGAATTAGTTAGGACTTCATAGAAACCTGGAGATGTTATGGTGCCTGTAGTAAGAATGGTAAGTAAGAATTTGTTGTATTGGTGTATACTGTGGTATGTTTGCGTCAGAAATTGTGGCTACCTAAGTTTAAGATAAAAAAGACTGAAGAGAAGTCTTCCCTCATCCTGTCTTTTGGCCATGTGCCACATTTTTGTATTTGAAAAATAAATGTCACTTTTCTTTAATGATACCTAGACTATGAATTTAAGAGCAGTATTAGATTGGAGGCAAGGTCTCATCATTTTACAGTTGAAATTGTTAGATAGAACCGTAAGTTCTATGTTAAAGTTTCTTCTATCGCACTTCTCGCTTGTGGAACTCTCTTTTGGCTTCTTGTTTCCCAGTCAACTGTCTTCTTAATTCCTGTTCTTTTATTGTTCTCTCTCGTTACTAGTGTTTCTTTTTTCTCATATTCTCTCACTCTCAGTAACCCTCTTGAGTCTTAGTGGCTTTATTGCCTTGACTGCGAGAAATGATTAAAGAAAAAAAATTTGGTTGGATCTACATATAGGTTAATAGAATTTTAAACAATATATAAAAAAGAACGAAGAAGTGTGTGGAAATTATATTTTTCTTCAATTTACTCATGTGCTTGTGTATATGTGTGTGTGCTCGTTTTTGGGGGCGTTTGTGTGTGTGTGTGTGTTGCTTAAATATTGGCGCCATTTTCAATGGCGCTATTTACTTCAGTCAGTTATGTGCCATGTACCATGCGTGATACATGGCGATATATGACTGACGAGGCAGATATTTACCCATAGCTGAGGTGGGAGAGAAGAAGAGGATTCATACCTTTTCCATGGGTATTAGCAACGTAAAGTGAATGTAATGGATTCGACTGGAATTCGAACTCGGCTCTCCGATTCCTCAAAAAGACATGCTTGCAAATACTGATTTTCAAGGAAAGCAGGCTGATCGTCATTGCTTGACGCAACACAATCTACACCAATTCACACCATTTCCCATCGCCTTTTAATTCAACATGATAAATAAATGTAGATATGTGTGCGTGTGTGCGTGTTTACTATGTTCGTAAAAGCACACGCTTATAAAAATGTATGTATTTAAACAACAATTCTCGTGTGTTTGTATATCGGTGTGCCTGCTCGCGTGTGTATGTATGTATTTGTTTAGTGTGTGTGTATCTTACAAAGATGGCGGTTTGTGAAAGCCGGATTGAATGATTCCCTTTTTCTCTTTGTCTCATTCTCTCTCTCCTTTTCTGTTTATCTTTTTTTCTCCTTTCTCCCGGTGCGTGGGAATTCACCAACCAGTTCACCCAGCAGCGGTTGGGACAGGTTTATATTTTCAGTTTTTTTTTTTTTTTTTTTTTTGTTGATCTAAATGGATATCCGAATTAAACATTGGAAGTCGAAGTGAGAAACTGTTTTTTTTTTTCTTCTTCTAGTCGTGTATAGGCATGTCTGAGTCCTGGACACATGATGAGGCATGCTGCACTCAAAGTCCTAGCGACAGTTTCTTCATGAAACTTTTCACTTCTAGGATTTGCAAATAAATAAATTAAAATAAAATAAAACATGGAAGAAAGAAAGAAAAAACAAAGGCAGAAAAAAGAGAAAGTTTATAGATGGCAAAATTTCAAGATAATTGCTACCCAAATCTCTTGCAGTTTTTAAAACCAGAGTTTTTGCCTTTTATAAAGATGATGACTTTTAGAAAATTATTATATTTTTTGTACAAATAAACGGAAAACTCTTGACTAATATAAAAAATAAATCAACATGTTTTCATATTAAATAACCTACAATTGATAGACCGGAAACCGAAACAATCAACCCTAATTAATCGTATTTTATTTCAATATATATATATATATATATATATATATATATATATTATAATAATAAATATATATTAATATATAATATTGTATTGTGCATATTATTATATAATATTATATATTATAATAATAAATATATATTATATCATTTTATAATATAATTTTATATAATATTGTATAATATTATATAATATTGTATTGTATGTTATATTATTATAATATATATTATAATAAATATACGTTATTATATGATATTGTATTGTATGTTATATTATAACATAATATTATATATTATAATAATAAATATATATTATTATATAATATTGTATTGTATATAATTATTATTATTATATAATATATATTATAATAATAAATATATATTATTATATAATATTGTATTATGAATAATATTATATAATAATATATATTATAACAATAAATATATTGCAATATATTTCAATAACAATAAATATCTTTCAATATTATTATTATAATAAATATATTAATCATCTTTGACAGTGAAATTTCAGCATAAGCGCTTTCTAAACTTTTTGTAAGTTTGAAAACTGGGTTTTTGCCTTTTATAAAGAAGATAATTTTTCGGATATTATTTTGTTTTTCTTTTACATCTAAAGGGAAAATCATAGCTAATATAAAATCGAAATTAACATATTTCAGTTTTAACCCCTTTCCTGCCAATTATTTTGTGAGAAACGTTTCATTTTCAGACGAATATTTGTATTTGTCTAGAAAGACTAAGAAACTGAGGCACCTTAAAATACCTGACCAGTGGCTAACACCTCTACCAGACATATGAGTTAACATTCGAACTCGTTTCAAGCTCAGAAGCGCATAAAATGAATCAAGATTGGCGTATAAACACGTCTATATCTGGTTTTTGAACGTTATGTTTTTGGACATGTTTATTCGTCCGTGTCTGAAAATACAACTTCGGTAAAAAACGTATATACACGTCTATGCAGGGGAATGGGTTAAATAACCCACAAAGGGTTGATATACTGTAAACCAAATCAATCAGCCAAATCAGCCTTATTTGCTGTATGTTTTTTTTAATCATTATTATCAAAGGAATTACATCAAAACGATTAATATAAACTTTAAAAAAAGGCACTAAGACAATATGAACTTTTTCTACAATAAGATATTTGAATTTAAATTGTCGCAGAAAAATATTACATTTCTACTACTGAGTTATTACCTATCTCACCAACTCTTGTAAATTTGAATTAGTCAAACATAGTACTTTTTTTTCCGACATGACCTCGGTTGCAGGCCGTACACAATTGTTTCGTGGGCCGCGTGTGGCCTGCGGGCTGCGTGTTAGACAGCATTGTTTTAGATGAAGTCGGCTCAAACTTGTCACACAATTGCTTTTTGATCAGGGGACAGAAATAGGTACGTTGAAAATGTATTAAGCTCTGACTGAAAAGAAAAAAAACTTATTTTAACGTGTGACGTATCTCTGTCAAGGCTGGGAATGGGTGTAACTGTTTTTCACCATTATTAACGCCTTGGCAGTAAGTTATAGAGGGCGGTTTGCACAAGTACTCTTTCACACACTCTCTTTGTCAATCGCTGAGGTATGTATCATCGGGGCATTATTGTCGGTTGAGCAGATCGACACGAAAAGCGGAGACAAGCTGACCGAGCCAATATTCGATTTTGATTTATGAATGTCATTCTTGAACCGGAT